AAAATAAGCTACAGGAGGCTTAAGGAATTTCAGTTACTGGAAAAATAGCAGAAAGCAAGTGTAGTGTAGTTTGCCTGTACCTCAACCCAAGCATTTATCTATACAGATAGTATAAAATCTTAAAAGATTAAGAAAAACTTGAGGTTACCAAGCTTAATAGGAATGTTGTGATGAATTTTAGAAAATGGAATATTGGCTTGAATATGAGCATGGACTGTAAGTGAAATCAGATAAGATAATGGTAAGTGTCAGCCCTTCTTGCTCCTGGTTCCTGTTAAAAATTGTCATATCTTCCTGTGGAGGTTATTAGTGAGATTGTGGTAGTACAGTTAATCTGATTGATCGGTTGGTGGTCCTTTTGTAGAGTCACTGTTTAGGCTTTGTTATATGTATGTATAGATACTGTAAAGCTTATGAAAATAGAGTCTGCAAAACCCTACAACAGCAGAAGTGTTTACAGCCGAAGTAAACTTTGAAAATATGAGGAATATCAGTCTTGCTTTCCATTATAAAACTAACTGATGCAGATATCGGCACTGGGTCTTTTAAAATAACACAAAACCCCCCAACCCATGGTCAAGCCCTGGTAAAAGATAAGGGGCATAAATATACTCAGAACCTGAATGTAAGGAATTTTGAAGCAAATTCAGGTTGTTTATGACTTGGTTTATGGATTATTCTGAGTAGTCTCTAATGGCTGTATTTTATTTGAACATTGAAGTAATACAGCTGGCTCTTTCGTTGTTTCATATTTCCTTTTTTTAGATGGAAATTCTGGGGGTCTACAATCTCTCAGCTGTCAGAGCACGGATGAAAATATCTCTGTAACTCAGAGCGCCAGACTTCTTGTGCATCCATACAGTTGTTTTCCCTCATCTGACAAGAGTAATTCAGATGCCTCAAATTCTGCACCATGTATGCTGCGGTCGTCACCAATTCCTTCAGGTACAGCAAACACTGATTTGATGCCATGATCCACAAGAAGTGTCCTAATATCATATATATATATATATATATGTGAATGAAGTGGAAACTTGAACTTGTTCATCTGTAAAATGAAAACAAAGCATTCTACAAATTAAGTATGCAGGTAGTTGTGTCCTTGTAGCCTTACATTACAAAGTAAAACCAATGTAAAATGTGACCAAGTACATGTACCTGTAGCTACCACGTTTTTTCTCTCCTTTTAAGCAAACTTAATGCCTGCTGCCACTGATCCTTCCTTATCACATTCCATTTCCTCATATTATTTCTTCCCTCTCCTACTGCTGTAGCAGTGCTGCAAGCCAGCAGAACAGGAAAAAAAGTTAGTTTGAGCTTAAATCATCTTGTTCCCTGTCAATTCTCCTCACTTTTTAGTCTTGTCAATCTTCCTCTTCATAATGATGGGGCAAAGAGAAGCAGCAACTGTGTCGGTATCTCTCCTTTAATGATTTTCTGTTAGTTGAGAGCTCACTTCATTATATTGCTATGCATCAAATAACTGTTAGAAGTGTGCTTCCAAAAAAGTAAAACAAAAGAAACTTTAGTGCATGATGAATTATTCAGAGATATTTTTTTTTTAATGGGCCACACGATAACATGCAACTTTATAAAGATCTGCCACATCATCCTACTGCTAACAACAGAACTGACACCTTTTCACTATGTGAATCCTCAGCTTGAGGAAAATACACAGGTACTAGAAGGATGTTTTCAGTAAACTTCAATAAAAATCCCACTGGAAAGTGAAGTTACCACCTTCCTCATTTTAGTACCAGGTTGGGTTGAACATTGGAACAGGTTCCCATGGAGTCTATAGAAGTCCCATCATTTGGAAACAAGGCACTGAGCAACCTGAGTTATCCTTGAAGTTTGCCCCACTTTGAGCAGGCCATTAGACAAGAAGACCACCTTGAGGGTTCCTTCTGACCTAAACTATTCAGTGGTTCAGATAAAATAAATAATTCAATCACCAAATTTGACAAAATGGAACATTTTAAATGTGGAGTATAATAGTTAAAAGCACATTTAGTAGTCTAGTGTATTTCCGACCAAAAAACAAGTGTTAAACAGCTCTTTCTCAGTTTGTTCTTTGTTCTATGGCACTATTTATTGACAGGCAGTTACAGTACTTCTTTTTTTAATCCTCTCCAATCTCAGATTTTGTTTTGGAAACTGTACAACAGAACATAGCTCATCAATGGATCCAAAGCAAAAGAGAAGAAATTATTGATCAGATGACTGAAGCATGTTTGAATCAGTCACTGGATGCTCTTCTATCAAGATTTTTACTCATGAAAGAAGACTATGAACTTATAAGCACAAAACCTACAAGGACATCGAAAGTACGACAACTGCTTGATACCTCAGATAGCCAAGGAGAGGAATTTGCCAGAATTATAATACAGAAGTTGAAAGATAACAAACAGCTAGGACTTCAACCTTACCCAGATATTGTGCCAAATTCTCTAAGACTGCATCTTTAAATTTATTCTTTCTCTATGAAACCATGTGGATATTTCTTACAACATGATTCTTGTTTCAATATAGTGGTTTTATATATGTACTGCATTGTCTTTACTATGCCTTTGTAGAGTCTCAGAAATGACACTGAATTCATCTAGACTGCATTTGGTGAGTCACCATTTAATTAGGTGGAGTGCAACCATCATGCCAAACACTAGACACTTGTTGACTCAGTTCATAAAAGTATTTCGTTTATACATGACAAAGAAAAAACATTAAATATTCCCTGGTTTACATATTTTCTGTTTATAGATATCCTTTCCTTCCACCTCACAGGATTGAGACAACCCAACTCAACTTGGAATGTTGTTTTTGCTCCCTTCATCTTGTCTTTCCAATAGAGGAGGAAAAAAAATGTGTGCTCTATTTCAGGGCTTGTATGCTGTGTGTACAGTAAATTTTCTTTCAGCCGTATTGGTTAGTCCTTCCAAGATACCAGAGATGAGAGGAAGGTGGGAAGAAGATTACATTGCAATTCTATAGGATTTTTTTATTGTTTTGGGGTTTTTTCCCGATTTCGTTGCCGGGGCAAGCACTTCAGACCGCTGCGTAAGAAGAACGTCAGTCCAAAGAGAACCCCAAGGGCATTTTGTTGATCATCTTTGTTCTGCTAAGAACTGATATGTTAGAAAGAATGCAGCTATAACCTTTTACATTATTTGGTTACAACCACTTCAACTTCTCTTGAAGTCATAGTAGGATGAGATCCACATACAGCTTATACCAGAGCACCCTTAGTTAATACCCCTTTTACATTTTCTTAGTTAATGCCTCCCTTATCTTTGTAAATAATTCTTATCTCATGTTGCTGGATCGAACTTCTAATTTGATTTTATTTTTAGTATTTACATAATGAGCAGTAGTTTGGGTCTGTACAAAGAACAAGCATGCACTGCCCTGCCAGGCTGGAAGTGATGTGAATGAGTCTCTCCTGCCTAACCTGCCTAACCTTCTCTGGACAACATCTCTGCCATCCGTTTTTGTCTGAAAGGTGATGTTAACATGTTGATGCACAAACAGGGCCACCTGAGAGGAAAAGGTATGTGCTATTTATTTCAGCTCGTTTCAGAAAGCTTTAGTGACTTTTACCTAGGTGGCTTCAAAACTAGTTAAAAAAAAAAATAAAAATCTGGTTTTAGTTTGTCAGAACACAGCATAGGCAAAATATTCTAGTACAGCCCTCCAAGGAAACCCTGAGGCCGCTCAATAGAAGAACTCGGTCCTATCTCCCTTTTCTTTCCTTGGACCCTGAGCTTCCCTCCGTGAAGGAGAAGAATCCATAAACCTGCCTTCTCCAACATGTTAGGCACAAAGATGTCTTCAAGAGCGAAATGGAGGAGGGGGCAGCCACACTCAGGACTTGAGGGGCACAGAAGAAGGGGTAAGGAGAAAGCTTTGGGGTAGCCATGGAGAGAAGGAGGTGGAGGCTGTGTGCCTGATCCACACGGGGTGTGTGAAGGGTGTGTGGAGCTGACGGACGTATGAGCCAACACGTCAAAGTCTGATGCTTCTTCTGTTGTTTAACTCCAGCACTATGAAAGAGGAACAGTCTGTGTAATTGGAACACTCAGCACTGATTTTGAGTGTGGCAGCAAGTCCAGGTTCAGCGAGACCAGCCAGGCACAGTCACGTAGTTCATGCACAACTTCTCTGACAGGAAGCCCAAGTCTGGCATGTCTGCTGAAGTCATGCCAGTTCTGTGGATGTGGCAGGTGGGACCCTGGCCTGTGAGGGGAAGGGTTGCAAGCTCAGGAAGACTTGTCTTTGAAAAGCTAGTTGGTTTCCCACACACACCTTCCGACACAAACAGTATTCTGTGCACTTGGGGTTAACTGTAAGTGCATCTGTTGTAGACGAGGGCTGTAGGACGCTGTGCTGGCTGAGCAGTAAGATGCAGGCAGCAGTGGTAAGTAACACGAAGGAGTGGAGGACTTGGCAGAGATGCAGCTGAACTGTTTGCTACATATGGACAATGGTATGAATGAAGAGGGCTCTGGAAATAATTGAAGTACTCTTGTTTCAGTGCAGAGTATGAAAAACCTTCCTGAGCATTAATGAAAGTATAAGCAATAGATCAGAAAATGTCACACGTTTATTCAGGCAAGCATACCTCACTTTGCTGTTCCATAAACAAATGCCTGTTTGTGTAGCTGTAACACAGAAGAGCTGCTATGAGCAGTAAGCTGGCACAGGAGGATCCTCACTGCAGAAGTGCTAGCCGAGTTCTGCAAGACTTTAAAAATGAATGAAAAACATGTGTTACAAAGGAAGTCATATTTACTTCTTTACGCTATCCATCTTACGTACATAAAATGCAAGATAGATGTAATCTTCCTTTGCAAAGGAACTAGATTTTCTATTTGCCAAAGAAATGTTCAAGAAAGTTTTCATGCAGATTGCTTGCTTTATGATTGCTCAGTGCTGAGTTATGTGCTGTTACTGTAAATCAGAGAAATGTTAAGCGGGACGTAACCATCAGGGTCAGAACAAAGTAGTATTAATGAAGAAAACATTTTGTTTCATGTTCCAGCATGCAGCCTTTACAGAATTAAAACAAAGGGCTGAGGTGGGCTCTGCAGGGGGATATATGAAAAATACAAAGGTGCACTAAAGCCCTAAGAGGGGGCAAATGTCTGAGGGCAGTCAGCACAGCATAGCACGCCATCAAAAAGCCAGTTTCATGCCCCAAATTAGTAACAGCAGAAATTCAAGTTTGAATTTCAGGGTGAAAGTAGTTACACTTCCTTGAAAATACACATTCTAGTTTATAGAATATAGTTTCTTAACACTGCTCTGACCAAAGAAAAAGGTTTTAAAATGAAAGAGGTCCTGATTAAGGAATGTGGTTCTCAGCCTCTCTGTTCTTCCAGCAGAGAGCAACATCCTTGCAAAACACTTCTGTTGCCAAAATGTTTCTTGATATATTATAACATATGTAACCACAGATTGGCAGGAAGCTGGAATTGTGCAATCTTTTCAGGCAGACTTAAAGAGCTCTCAGGAATAAATAACCATCCTTCACTAAAACTAAAGCAACTTGGAAGCTATTCATTCAAAATACTTGTCATACCTGCTTTGAATACTGTTTTTTAAAAGGACAGCCATTTCTGTGTAAACATTAACTGTAGACCTGTCTCATTCTATGACATGTTTTTACAAGATGTTACTTTAAAAGGAAGAAATAGGAGGAGCACTGACTTTCAGTAGAAAGACTTGGGTTGTTTCTATTATTCCTTTGGGTCACTGAGGGTTACAGTATGGAACGTGCAATATGATGCAACTTTCCTGCTTGCTTTCAAGTTAGATTACTGAGGCTAACTGGAGGGGTATCTGTGCTTGTATTCAATTATTTCACTTTTCTGCATGGATCAGTAGCCCATTCTGATTAAGTCCTGTTATCTGGTGCCTCTACTCAGTCTCGTGACTTAAGACTTTTGACCTCCTGGAACAGCTCCTTCCAAATGCTCTTTGACACGTAAGTACAAATTTTTGCCTTACTATTTAGCCTTGTTATTAATGGAAAATAAAAATCCTAAGTTAGTGCTCTTGAATTTATTAACTTTTTGCCCTGCCCAGAAGGCTTTGTTTTCTGGATGTTTAGTTGTTTTGGAAGATACTGTGCTGTATACCATACTGGCTTTCCAGAAGTATTTCATAGTAAGGACAACACATTGTTTCAGAAGACAAAGCTGATTACATTGGGTAAATAATTTCTTTCTTTGCTTATTTTTTATCATAGATATTATTTTAAAGTTTATTTAATTAAAATAAGATTTTAACACCAGATCAGCCTATTTTGTGCATTATCATGTCATAAATTATTAGAAACGCCACAGATATGTAGTTCTTCAGTTCAGAAAAATAACTGAGTTGATAAATATTTAATAATAAGTAGGTTCAATTTAAAAGAAAATTTATTTTTTTTTAAGTAAACAGAAAAATATTGGGTTGTTTGAAATGAAATAATACCTATGATTTTAAGTTAACTACCACTCTTTACTAGTCTTCCCACTCTGAAAATCTTTCTATTTTGTCAAGTTGCACCATGAGAATAAACATTGTCTTTGTGTACAGTGTTAGTAAAAAGTCCCATTGTGGCTTTCTAAATTAACAGGGAATTAGACTGGATTTGTTTCACATTAACATCTGGGAAAATGTTGTGCTAGGTTTCAGTGATGCATGGATGAAGGATATATTTTTCCAAAAAATTCCTTTTGTCTTATTTCTACCATAACTTTCTAAGGAAAAGAGAGCAGCTGATATTTAACTGATGCTTATGCCTGCTAATGACCTCAGTTGGAGTTGTTTGGAGAAACTGCATTTCAGGAGAGTCTGGGATCTTCTTTCTTGAAAGCTCTCATTGATTTTAGTATTCATGCTACTGCAATAAAAACAGCAGCTAAAGGCAAGGCTAAACTGAGAGTGAGAGAAGAGGCTATTCATATTAGTGTTAATCCATCCATCCTGGTGAAACAAATGTGTGCTTATTTAGAGCAGCAGCCAGAGAGTCACTATTCAATTACAGCAGCCTTCCTGCTAAAGGAAGCAAGCGTATCACCCACCCTCTGGTAAGCTGCTACCTTCTCTTTTTAATACCTTTCTTGTATTTGGACTACAGTAGTTTTTCTCTCAAGTATCCTTTGTTTCTCCTAGGGGAAATCCATCCTCTGACCGTAGTAATGCAATTGGAGCATGCGAAGCATTAATTCAGTGAATTATTATAAACTTAAAATTCACAAATCAAAAGGAAATATGCTTGTTTCCTATTGAGTGGGATATGTCTTCTTCAGGGGAGATCAAAGTGGATTTTTTGTTGTAGTTTTTATTATTGTTATTGCTAACTATTTTATTTTATGCTGTTCCTTCATAATGTATACTTTGATTTGTTTGCTTTATCTCCCTTGTCACTGGAAAATGTTCAGCAGTATAATCTGCCACTTTAAGACCTGTTGATGCTCAT